AGTATTTCAGAAACAGCTAATCTACTGGGATTTTCCTGCATACACCCATTTCTGGGATTTACAGATAATAATCAGAAAAATAGAAAAAAATATGCAGGTAAAGAGGTGAACATCCAGACTGCTTAAAGCTGATAGGAAGGCAACTATAACTCATATTGAAGCAGATGACCACATCTGGTCTGATCTTCTACTGCAACTCTTTTGCAATTACATGAGTTCAACAAAGCTTTACAATAGAAGGCTTGGAAAAACATTATCTGGCCTAATGAGTCTTGATTTCTGACCCAACATTCAGATAGTTGGGTCAGAATTTGGTCTAAACAACATGAAAACATGTATATTTCCTGTCTTGAATCAGTGCTTCAGATGGTGTAATAGTGTGGGAAGATATTTTCTTGGAACAGTTTAGGCTTCTTGGCACCAGCTGAGAACCATTTAAATGCCACAGCCTATCCTCATATTGCGATACGGTCTGGGGGCTTTTTGCAGTGTTAGTTGTGCTCTGTTTTGCCTGAGTTTCCTGTTCGATGCAGGGGGTTGCTGGACACCTGGCCATTGTTTTGCAGAGCTTTTGAGCCAGTCATAGCATATTGTTCCTAACCACGTCCGCCCCTTTATGACCAAAGTTCATGTTCAGCTCAACTTCTGATGGCTGCATCCATCAGGATAATGCACCATGTCATAAAACTCAAACCATCTCAAACTAGAACACGAATCACTCATATTACATCTGCAGTCACCAGCTCTCCAGTAGAGCACCTTTGGGATGGATAAATAGAAGATTTGCAACAAATCTGCAGCAACTGGGCGATGCTATGTTGTCAATGTGGACCAAATTTTCATTTCCACAGTCTGCAACTTGGGTCCTGTTGACAGTGATATTCTCCTGCCTCCTTCCTAACAGAGCGGAGGCTGTTTAAGAAGCATATCTGTGCCAGAATTTTTTTTATAACTAAATATTTGACACCTATTCTAATGAATAGGAATTCTAATCTATCGTACATGGACAGCTGGAAGTTTGAATTTGACTCTTTAAATTTAGCTCAAAACAAAAGGAACTTTAAAGGTGGTTTATACAGACGCTTTGCTGTGTTGCACAATTTTGGATTCAGTGTAACCATTCATTTTTTAAAAATTACAGTACCTTCGTTCTTCCAGAAGTTATCAAACCACAATTTCTCTTATGCCAGAGGTCAAGAACAAAAGCACACGTATCCCTTCTAGTCTTATCTTCACAATATCACCACTTTGTACCATAGAGATTGCTATCTAGGCTGAGCTGTGTACCATAAAGAGCCTTCAGTCTGTGCGCTTCTTTACACAGATGGCAGGATGCCTCTGGGGCTGCAAAGAGAGTCTGTGGAGAAACGAGGTAATAGACTCAGAGTAACGCACAAAGGAGACTTCATCCCTTATCGATGGCAGTGCAGACTCCGAGCAGGATGACTGAACTCTGAGCTGAATAGTTTCAACTGACAAAAGGGGCTTTTTATCTCTGTTAGTGATCCAGGTATTGAAGGTGAAACGATGAACTGTTGCATTAATGTACTTTTTCAAGAGCATTCAAAGGAGAGCAATGTTTGGACCCACATCTTCAATGGCATATTAGAGCTAAAGGAAACCAAATTATACACTAACACCTGAATATATGCAGTAAACAAAACAATATGTATGCTTTTTCTGACACATAAACATGTAATAATACATAAACAGTGTGCGGTGACAATGTGTGGCCCTCACATACCTCAGACCATGCATACGCACATATTTAGAGCCAGTCAAGCCTTTGACGTCATTTAATATTATACAACATACATGCAGCAAATCACTTCATCAGAACCTCTGCGTGACTCAACAAAAGTGATGAATATGCATTTGTCTTTTGTACGTCTCGCTGGAATGTGTTTGATCAGCTCCCTGAAGACGGAGCATCTGTTCAGTGCAGCAGTTTTATTAATGTAGCAATATCTTGTTAACAACACATGCCTCCTCCCACAATAAGCACTGAATGATAGCTTCCACTGTAAAGCTGCCGTTGCTGGGAAGGTAGGAAACCTGCTTATAAATTAGCTGTCCAGTTAAAAAAAACACATTACTGTCACATCGGTATAAAATAAATGCTGCTGCAGAATGTTCCCAGGCTGGTGAAGTAGTTTCTGAAGTAATGTGCTCCATCTTTCATATGGCAATCAAAGAAATCCAAGTGCACGGGTTCTCCCTGTTTCCCTTCCATAAGAATGGCATCTTGGCTGTCATCCTTCCACTGAGAGCATTCCAGATGAGCCTTCAGTAAACATTTATGAAGATGCATCTCTCAGATTCTGTGTCAGGACTTTTTTTTTTCTTATATTTATTCAGATATTGTTCATCGCTGGAAGAAATGCACAATACTGTATGTTTAATAAAGCAATTCAAGTTATGAATAAACTTGGGCTGCCTTTTGTTTTGAAGACAGTTTTAAATACTCACTGATATGAACTGTGAGAAGAAAGATGATTTCAAAGCATTCATTTAAGGTTTATTAGAAATTAGATTTAATTTCTGTTCACTGAAAATTATGGGCCTGCTGTTTGGGATATTGCTGGGTATTTAAAGAATTAGCAATAAGAGTAATGGGAATTAAAATCTGCAGCTGTTATCTTTAAGTAAAACTCTTCAATGCTCATCAGTTATTTCTGAAAAAATAACCAATTCAGATTAGGTCATCATTGATAATTATGAATTATGAATCCGGTACCTGGTGGACTAAGACCACCAGGAACCGGAACAGCTTCTTCCCCACAGCTGTCAGACTCCTGAACTCTGCCTCCTGACATCTGACCCACGTTAAACACATGGACTGGACATACACACACCCACAACCACCTACACACACACACACACACAATGGACAACTGTACCCTCATACACACAATAATAACATGGACTGAACCACCACTCTCAACCACTTGCACTTCATATAGATTCTGTAGAAATTATCCACATATCTCACTTATCTCAACTGCACTACTGTATAATTCTGGATAAATAATCATTCTGTTCAATACGATAATTTTTAATTCTACAACTGTTTATTACTTGCATAGTTCACATTTCTGTATAGCTGTATATCTCATATTTCTGTATAGTTTTTCATATTTATATCCTGTTCATAGCCTGTACATACTTATAGTTATAGCATATTCATAACATACCTTCATACTGTGTACATCATAACATACCATAATAGACCCATTTCTGTAATATACTCACATATCTATATTATAGCTAATATATGTTTGTAATATATCTATATCATGGCTAAAGCACTTCTGGATGGATGTAAACTGCATTTTGTTGCCTTGTACCTGTGACATGTGCAATGACAATAAAGTTGAATTCTATTTTATTCTATTCTATAATTAATAATTGTTTTATAATTAGAATTATATTCTCCCATAACTTGACCTTGTGGGGGGGTTTATGGTTTCTTGGTACTGTTGTCTTTTCTCTCCCATGTTGGTGCAGATGAGGTCACTAAAAACATCAGAACGATCACAGACACAGGAGCATTCTGGGATGTGATCCATGAAAAGTAAAAAGAAATCTGTGAAGATTTCCCGGTGAGAGCTGCCTGGCCTGTGTGTCCTGGCAGAAGGAGAGTGTTGGCAATGAAGAACAAAAAAAAGAAAGAAAGAATACAAAATAAAGATTTACTCAAACAGGAAGCTGCACTGTAGCCCCCAAATGAGGAGATTACACAGAGAACAACGCCATAATGCCAGAGGAGGCAGCGAGCATGCATCCAAAAATAGCTAATGGACTTGTTACAAACATTTGGTTGAAGTCAACACTGTATTTGGTTTAATCCAGGGATGCATTTGCAGGGATAAACTCACCATTTGTTGTATATTTTCACGAATCTGAGATGATAATGGGCAGAAACATTGACAGCACAGGAAGCTCTGGCAGAAATTAAACAACTCTTTGACAGTGTTGCAAAAGAGATGTTCAAAAACTCCGTTTTCCATTTTCCAAGTGATGCACTGAAAATGCAACTGTGTATGTGATTGTGTGGTTGTTCACATTCAAGTTTGACATATTTATCTGGAACTATGACAAACTGATTATGTTTAACAAAAATGTCCTAATAAATGCCATTTCTATTCCCAAACTTTCTTAGGAAACATGCTAATATAATCACACTAAGTGGCCTCATGTCGCCCTCTGGGCCTCTGAGAAAAAAGTATTCTTTTAAATGGGATTATTCCAATTCATTTCCCTGTCAACAGCTTCACTGAAGACTAGCTGCTCACGTTGCCATGGATGTCTCAAAAATGACTGAGGTATTTGGCCAGAGAAATAAAGAGGCTCTGGATACTCAAGGAAAAAAAAAACACTTTGGAGTGCATTTGAGAGCTGCTGCTTTATCTTATCTCACACGGTGTCAGTTTCCATGTTTTCGCTCAGCTTCAGCAGTGATCTTTGCTCCCTGTGCGGATGAAAGGAGCTTTTCAAACAGCAAGTTTGCAAGTTTATGTTGTGCAGCAGTTACAGAGAACTAAATACAGAAAATTAGCATTGATATAAATGTCAAATATTATCTGGTTCTAATGTTATATCATACTCCCAAACTGTGTTATATCACTGCAATTTAGCTTTTGTTTCTTTCCTTAACCACTGGTTGGACAAATGTTTTTTTTTACAGATGTCACATGTTAAATGAAAGCATATGAAGGACGGATGTTGAGTTCAGATTGTGTTTAGTAATCATTTTATTCTATTGATTTCCTTTTAAGGCTCTAAACAATTATCCTGTGCATTCACTGATGTCCACACGCATTAGTGTCTGCTGTGTATATCGCTCTAGAGCTCATTAACGGACCTTCACACCGACAGTTCATTTGTCCAATGGTTGTTTGGAATCCACTGGTTGTCCAATAGCAATCCAGCCTGAGCTGATGCTGCGTGCTTATTGGTGAGTAGTGTTAGTATGCCTCCTTTTCGTTGATGCCTTTCATTTGGTCAAGGTTGCACTTGCAGTTTTAACAGCAGAACGCGACTGGAGCTTCGTTTACGCGCAAACAGAGAGCAGCCCGATCAGCCGAGGCTCTGCCGAAACTTCTCCCGTTTCTATTTGCACAACCCGGAGGAATCTCTCACCTCTCAGGAGCAACCATGGATGAAATGGAGGAAGAGTTAAAATGCCCTGTTTGCGGCTCATTTTACCGGGAGCCCATCATACTGCCGTGCTCCCATAACATTTGCTTAGCCTGTGCTCGGAATATTCTTGTGCAGACCCCCGACGCCGAGTCTCCACAGAGCAGCCGAGCCTCCGGGTCCGGGGTCTCCGATTATGATTACCTGGATTTGGATAAAATGAGTTTGTATAGTGAGGCGGACAGTGGCTACGGTTCCTACGGGGGCTTCGTGAGCGCTCCGACCACCCCTTGCCAAAAATCACCGAACGGGGTTCGGGTTTTCCCCCCGACTGTCCCTCAGCCGCAGCAGCAGCACCTTCTACCGCATCCCGGCTCCTTAACTCCGATCCCTCGTAACTCTTGCATCACCTGTCCGCAGTGTCACCGCAGCCTCATCCTGGACGACAGGGGACTCCGCGGGTTCCCCAAGAACAGGGTGCTGGAGGGGGTGGTGGACAGGTATCAGCAGAGCAAAGCGGCCGCTCTCAAATGTCAGCTCTGTGAGAAGAGTCCAAAGGAGGCCACCGTGATGTGCGAGCAGTGTGACGTCTTCTACTGCGACCCGTGCCGCCTGCGCTGCCATCCTCCCCGCGGTCCACTCGCCAAGCATCGCCTGGTGCCGCCGGCGCAGGGGCGGATAAGTCGCCGCGCCAGTCCCCGCAAAATTTCCACTTGCACAGAGCACGAACTGGAGAATCTCAGCATGTACTGTGTACAGTGCAAAATGCCTGTATGTTATCAGTGTTTGGAGGAAGGGAAACACGGCACGCATGAGGTCAAAGCTTTAGGCGCAATGTGGAAACTGCACAAGGTACGTGCGTAAAAATGATCGGGATGCTAAGATTTGTCTTCGTCCCTTACAAGTGCGTCTGTTTCTGTCTTTATTTGTGTTTTTGGCCGCTCTGTGCAATGATTCAACATCTTCTGAGCTGAGCAACAAGTCTGTGTTCGAAATAATTTGCGCTGTCGTGTCAGCTATGCTTAGCATCCGGTAGAGAGGTACAGAGCTGTGGGGTGTTCGTTCTGCCGCTTTGGATTTAAATGAGTGTTTAACAATAGTAAGAGGATGCATTTTATTGCCTGATACACGGTCCAGCTTCATGTGACGCTGCCTTTAGCCAAACACTGCCAAACAAACCCGAAAGGCAGTGGCTCATTTTTAATTTTACCTCATAAGTGGACAACTAGAAGCTGCTGTTTTCTGTTTGCATGACCATGTAAATGATGACCATCTGTCTCACGAGATGACAACATCAAATTCCTTCAGTGCTTTGACAGCTCACAGGCGCCCTGAAGATCATTAGGCATGGCAAACACTGAAGCTATGCTTTATTGAGAATGGGGAGTGAAGCACAGATGCAGGCCTGTGGTGTGAATTGAGAAGCTATTTTGGAAGCTGAGTTGTTGTGGGCAGGAGAGGCAGAGCTGAGATTATCTACGCCTCTGCACCAGCAACCCTCACCTCCACACTCCAGCCTTCAATGAAGAAGGGAAGAATGTAGAGCTAGATATAACTCACACACGCACCCAC